GGGACTGCAGAAACACAGCACACTGTTCAGATTGATGCAGACATGAGACCTCTATCTCACTCATGGTTTGTCCTCTCAAGTGGGGAAAAGATAATGCACAACGTTACCCACTGCTGTCAACCTGGGCCAAGTCATATCTCTCTTGTCCCAGAAACCTCAGTCCCAAATGAGAGGGTTTTTTTCTGTTGCAGGGGACATTGTAAATGCCCAGAGATACCAGCTTTTACCAGATTATATTTATATGATAAATTTCCTTTAAAGCCATCTCTAAGTGAGTGAGTGATTAAATGTTGAATGTGATGAGTTTTCAACAATACTAAATTGAAACTTTTTTTTTTTACATGGTTTAATATTTTTTTGTTATTAAAATTGAAGTTCCTGTTTCAAAGCTTACAGATAGATGGCTAATTTGTATTTCATTGACACTTTTGGCACTTTTTTGGAGTATTTTCATAAGTTTTGTTTTTTCCTGTAAATGATTCAATAAATACCGTACCGTGACATTCATACCGAGGTATTACCGTACCGTGAAATTCTGATACCATTACATCCCTAGTACGTTCGAATTCCATTCATACTTTTCACATTCATACTGTATAGAATGTACTTTTCTAATGGCCGAGTAGTACGTTTAAATTTAAATGCAGTACCTACTGAGTAGTAGGCGGTTTCGGACGCAGCCCATATGACGGCGAGAATGACGATTTCTTCTTCTTCCTGTTTTACGGTGTTTGACAACATTTTGGTGTATATATATATATATATATATATATATATATATATATATATATATATATATATATATATATATATATGTATTCATTTTATTTTTCAGATTAGTCCTTTTATTAATCCAGCTACAGCGGAATGAACCGCTAACTTATCCAGCATATGTTTTACGCAACTGATGTCCTTCCAGTTGCAACCTATCTCTGGGAAACATAAATTGACATTCATACACTACAGACAATTTAGCCTACGCAATTCACCTGTAGCACATGCCTTTGGACTTTGGGGGAAACCGGAGCACCCGGAGGAAACCCACGCGAAGGGAGGAAGAACATGCAAACTTCACAAAAAATGCCAACTGACCCAGCCAAGGCTCAAAGCAGCGACCTTCTTGCTGTGAGGCGACAGCACTACCTACTGTGCCTATATATATATACACAATATATATATATACAATTTATTATTTTTTTACAATGAAAGAAATCAGTTATTATCACCACAAAACATCACAAAATTAAATATATGCATTGCGAACACTTAACTGATGATTTTTGCTATTTTCTCTTTCAAATGATGTTACTGGAGAAGGATGCTGTCGTGTCGTTTCATTCACAGGCTATTACTGATTTCTTATTCAGATAAACCAGGTATTATTATATTAAAAGTATAGCTAAACAAATAAAAGCAAGTAGTATTTGTGATTTTTATAAACATTAGCTGCAGTTTTACTACAGATACTATATAAACTAATTACAATTAATTACAACAGTCAGTAATCAAGAAATAAATGTACATATGAAGAGTTCAGATGCAAAAACCTCTAAAAGCCATTTAAATTTTTTTTCTCAAATTTGCATTTTTCTCCAACTCTTGTGTGTTGGCTCAGTAATTTCACATCTATATTGACGAATTTTCTTTGCCCTTCAAGTGAAATAACTGAACATAAACATAGGAGGTTGAGAAAATATGTTCATTTTAGAAGAACATTTCAGAAGGCATTTAGAGGTTTTTGCATTTGAACTCTTCATCATGTGGTGGCTCAGTGATTAGCACTGTCACCTCACAGCAAGAAGGTCGGTATATGTATACAGACATAGACATGTTTGCATTTACTTATTGATTATATACAGTATATATCGCCTGTTTAATACTTTTTTTCTCTGTCATGGTTGCAAAAAAAAGTTAATATTAAATTCATATATCTGTCAGCAGAGGGCTCTCTGTGCTCATAGGAGCAGTTTCACTATATACAAGACTATTTACAAGATATTTAAGACCTTCAGTATATTTTTACTTCAGTGTGTCTTGGAATATTGAGTATAATACTGAAAGAGTCAAATACCTCTGTACCATGCAGTCAGTTAGGTAACTAGTCCATTTGGGGAAGGCAGCGCTTATGTTATGGCTCCTGACATTTCTGACCATGTTTCTACATCAAAGAATGTTGTATTAAAGTTGGACAAGACAGATTTCCAGCAGCAGCACATGGTAAACCCTTGCTTTACTGTTTATTGAAACGCTAAAATGTGTATTTTAACCAGAAATGCAGCATTAAAGCACTACTTTTCCCCCTCACATATGGGATTCACACAAGATATCACAACATCTTTAATCACCTCAAATGAAAATAACTATAGTAATTTTGTAAATGCTGTAGTATTTGTGAATCATAAAGCACTTGGATTACTAAATTGTGGTAATTACACAGTAATTGTGCATCCAAGCTCTCTTCTTGCTTTCTTGCGTTTTAGCTCCACCCCCTGAGGATGACGCGAGAGAATTCAAGTAAAAGATGCGAGGGCGGTCGGAATTGAATCAAGTGAAATTATATATATATATATATATATATATATATATATATATATATATATATATATATATATATATATATATATATATATATATATATATCTGATGTATGAATACATGTTCACACACCACACCCACTGTCAGCAAATACACTGCGTAGCGTAAACACCGTCCAGTTTCGATGTTCACCAGCAGAGGGCGAGACGAGCACGCGCAATACAACAGAGGCGCGCCGGATCAATACAAAAGCTTCCAGGGTTCTTTTGATGCCTCGTCTGTTATTGCTCTCGTCTCGTGTTACACAGAATGAACATGTAAAACGGGAAAATAATGGCATAATTTCAAGAACAGAGTAGTAATTTGAAGATGAAATATTTTGTTGTCCTTTAAATATAGCTACAGATACACGCAGATGTCCATGACATTTTGATAAACGTCGCAGTATTTATTAAGAGAATCCACATATTATGTTTTTTTTAAATAATTTTGAAATAATAATTGTTTGAAACAGTGGTTTACCGTTTAATATTGGTTATTGGTGTATTATAAAGAATTACAACATAATAACAAAAAGGCTAAGCTAGGCTAACACCGTGTATTTGCAGCTTTTGTCAAAAATATTTATAATAAAAGCTTCAAGAAATGATCAAAACGAAAGTATTGCCCTCTTTTGTTTCCTTTGTAACCAAATCGATTATGAAGCGTAAACCATGCTTTTTAAATTACAGAGGATTTCTGTGAGGGTTGTGTGCAGACAGAAAACTATTTGTACATTATGCTTAAGAATCTTTGTCTGTGAAGAGTCCCTTTAAACCACAATACAAGTGTGCATGTTGCAAGTCAGGCCTGTAAGCAGAAACAGATCCCGCTGTTGTCTTAGTCTCTCCCACATACTCCTAGGCCGAAAATGTAACTTTTGGACAATAGGCAGGTACAGTGGGCGCACCCAACAGAGCCCACTGACAGATGGGCAGCATAATTTTTGGAAATCATTTCCAAACAGCATTCATTATTTATAAATGTAACAACAAATTTGACTGATGGCACGGTCACCACAGTGGAATGAACCGCCAACTTATCCAGCATATGTTCTACGCAGCGGATACCCTTCCAGCTGCAACCCATCACTGGGAAAAATCCATACACTCATTCACACACATACTACAGACAAATTAGTTTACCAAATTCACTTACAGTATACCGCATGCTTTTGGACTTGTGGGGGAAACCGCAATTGTTTATTGGTGAATCTAATGACAATATTTAATCTCAATAATTTGTTATTTGACACAGCAAACGGAAATTATTGAGGGCAATCTTAAAAAAGTTTTATAAATTGAAACAACGGTTTCTGAATCAAAATGGTGTTGAAATATAGCCACAATCATTAACACATTTCAGTTTTTATTAGAGTTCACTTTAGTAGTAATAAAGTGAACAGTATTTAGGATTTCACCTGCCAGGTATTTTCTAATGTTATCTGCATGTTTGCTTAAGAGGACATGAGATAAATTAGCAATATCACACGAGTAGCAGTGCGATGGGGCTGTATATTGGCACTGGTGGGAGGTGTGCGGCCTCAAGCCTTAGCGTCGCACCAGTGACAATATACAGCCACATTACACTGCTACAAGTGTGATATTGCATTCATACAACAGTTCAACGGCATAACCGTCTGCGTATAAAAAAGAAAATCAAACACGGAGAGGCTCAAAACCATTTTGTAAGAGGAACTACTTTCTTCTGCCATTCATTTACATTTGCAGCTGTTGTCAGAACAGCAGAAGCCATTACTGACTCACCAACATCATTTTAGAGCTAGTATTTGAATGATTCTCTAGTGTAATGACTAAAGTGATGATAAATCAAGGGATTTTGCTCACAATTAAAGATTATAAGGCTGAACTGCATAAAATGCCATCAATCTACAGCGATTTGCCATTGCATTCAGGAGATCACAATATTACTGTGGTATAAATACAGCACTACAAACATACAAAAGAGATCAACTTAAAAAGTCACTTACCTGTTTAATAAAGATTTGATCAGCTGTAAATTGAACTTATGCTGTTTTTCTCTAAGGGCTTATTATTCGGTCATTGTCGCCATCTTGTGGATGAACATCGTCAACTGTCTTTGCTCAAAGATGTTAATGGCCGCCGACAAGTTGTCTTTCAGAAATTTGAAGTATTTAAAATAGGCACTATCCTTATAAATAAACTGCATAGGTCCAATCAAAACAACTACATTCTTGACAAAAAAAGCCTCGAACTTACATTATGTTGCCCAAAAGCAGCAATACAGTGTTCTCTGCACTGTTGCTGTTTGTGGGCGGAGTAATACACAAGGGTGAAGAGGCTGGATGAGTGCTGTTACTGGCAGAAAATCACAAGGCCATCAGCCAATCAGATTCAAGAACCAGACAGAACTGTAGTATAAAGATGAATTACCAGAACAGTGAATACATTTAAGAACATTTATTTTCAGCATTCAGTATTGAGTACATCTTAAGTGCAAATAGTTAAGAGTCAATGGCTAAAAGAATGAACAACACTTAGTTACAGAGTACAAAGATTGACAGATTCTTGCTGGCAATCACTCACTGAAGCTTCCTTCTCCTCCCTCTCTTTTGTTTGAATCATTTTCAAAAAAGAAATAAGATGACAGCACCTAAACATGAATCTCTGTAGCGGAGTCCTACAACAAAAAGGGAAAATACTGTAATGGTACAAGTGAGCTGACCATATCTAATCAGAACATTGCTAAATAGTTACGTTTGTGCCCAGAAATCATGAACCTCGGCAGATCCATGCGTCTAGCTGACATGACGGTTATGTTAATCATGTTTGCAGATATAGTGACGGAAGCAAAACAGCCCCACCCAACACCATACACACAAAAAGCTTTTTTGTTGCTGTTTTTGTCCAAGATGAGAGTGTCACTGGAGAGCAAAAAAGCTGGAGAGATCCTTTACAAACTACTGAGATTTCAGCACAGCTGAGAAAGCACACAAACTTTAAAAAAGAGAAAAAGAGAATTCATCAGCACTTGAGACTCTTGACTTCATGCACTTTATGAGCAACACATAAAAAAAAAGAAAGTCACATCTAGCCTTTTCGCCTGATTTGAATAATATAGTCTTAGGTTACATAGTAAGTTACTACAATTCATCGAATAGTTCTGACTAGATCCAGTTTTGACAAATGCATGTTTTGCTTTTTTTCTTAATTTCTTTTTTCTGTTTACAAGGCATGGATGGGACTTCTCCTGCACAGCTTTGCCATTGCTCTAGACGTCACAATGTGTACAAAGTAGAACTATGTTCCAGTGATGTTTGTGTGTGTCTTGTGTCTGGTGTGTGTTTGTGTGTGTGTGTGTGTGTGTGTGTGTGTGTGTGTGTGTGTGTGTGTGTGTGTGTGTGCGTGCATATATCTGTGTTCGTGTGTACAAAGAGAAATCATTCAGCTTTTCCTGTGACGGGATGGTCAGCAGATCACTCCCTCCTCCCTGTAGGGCTTATTCAGCTTTTCGTTTGGTCCCAGGAACCTTCTCCTGGATCCTGCAAAAAATAAATAAATAAAGAAACATTATATCATTGTCAGGATTATGATCAGTTTTGTGTGTTATGTTTTTGTGCTTCAACTAAGTTTAGTTCCAGATTAATCCTTGTTAGTTGCCGTATTAATTATTAGGTTCACCTGTGCCTCATTTAGTTGTTTACTCCATATACCTTTTTGCAGGTACAGTGAGACTCCACACGCTGCTGCGCGACTCATAATGCGCAGAACACAGAGAGCGCAGCACGATTTAAATGCATAAGCTGAAATAAAGTTCTGAAAAATAAAGTTCAGGAGTTAATTTGCTCGCGGTGAAATTATTTTCATTATATTTTTATTGAGGCATTTATTTTTATGCTTCTAGTGAAAGTTGGAGGCTAGTCAGAGCTACGTTTTTGGATCCTGATTGTTAGTTGATCCACAACATTTTGAAAATGTAGTTCTCAGAGAACAAACCATTATAAAAAAACTCATGATACTCATAACTGATACAGTACATCAGTTCAGTATGTTTACATGTATGTTACATAACTGCCCCCTGCTGGTCGTGTCTTTCTTGTGTTAGATCATTTCGTGCTATACCGCGCAGTACTGCAGCATTGCATGGGGTCACGTTCATTAACTTGCACATTCTCAGTAGCCACATCTGTATATATGTTTGTCATTTCAAGCCATGTTGTAATTACAAGTTGTATAAATTGTTTACATATAAAAATTCTTAATATAACAAGAGCTGTTTTTAGTTCTTCTTTTCATGTTGTGTATATTCAGGAGAGTTTTTGAATTAATAATTTTATTCACAGTAGAGGCCAATGATTAATCACATGGGTGTAATTTCTGCTACATCAGAGTTTATTTGGCAAATGGATTTACATTCCTCAATATCCTTATTTGTTTAACCCTTTTTTGCACAATTCCAAAACCACTTCATATTTTGAGAATTATTTGTATTCAAAATTTGCCATTTCCATCACTTCCTTTTATGCGATACTTCAAAATGCGCATTAACACAGGCTGATAAAAACCCAGCTAGTGAAGACATTCATGATGTTAAAATATTTATATTAAGACAAAATCCAATTATTGTGATCATTTAAAAAAATCTCATTCCATGAAAAAATGAGACAACATGTTTTTATCAAAAATAAAACTTTAGCATTGATGATGAAACATAATTCCTCTTATTCTATATTCTTAAAAGGACTGCTTACTTTGCTACCACAGAGTTGACTTGGGTCCTTATTAGGTCCACATACTGATCGATCTGTGCCTGGAGACAAAGAAAGATTATAAATATGAGTCACTGTGGTCATGCTGCTTATGAATAATACATAATGCTGCTGTCATGGTGACAAAGGTGCCACTCTGACCTGGTATTTCTCATAGACCACAGGCATTGAGAACATGCACACCACCACTGAAGAAAGAGGCAGCACAAATGTTAGAAGACAAGACAAAAGAAACCATTTAAATGTCAAATTGCAGGTATATATGGAACCAAATGCTTCTCACCCATAATAAGAAGAGTGAGGCCGTTGAATAGAGCTCCAACATAGGTCAACAACCACATCAGGACTGCAAACTAGAGTGAAATAAGCACAAGCACAAACTTCATTTACGCACATACACAGTATATATCCAGGTATCATATCATTTATGATGCATTTCTGTGCCAGCACACTGTAGAAGTATATTTACAGTGCATCTCAAGAGCTTCATAGCGCTTCACTTTTTCCACATTTTTTACATTACAGCCTTATTCCAAAATGGATTGAATTAATTTATTTCCTTAAATCTCTACACACACTACCCCATAATGACAATGTGGAAAAAATAATTTTTTAAATTGTTGCAAATTTATTAAAAATAAAAAACCTGAAAAATCACATGTACATACTGTAAGTATTCACACAGCCTTTGCTGAATACTTTGTTGATGCACCTTTGGCAGCAATTACAGCCTCAAGGGTTTTTGAATATGATGCCACAAGCTTGGCACACCTCTCTTTGGTAATTTTTGCCCATTCCCCTTTGCAGTACTTCTCAAGCTCTATCAGGTTGGATGAAAAGCGACGGTGTACAGCCATTTTAAGATCTCTCCCAAGATGTTTAATAGGATTTGGATCTGGGCTCTGGTTGGGCCATTCAAGGACATTCCCAGAGTTGTTGTGAAGCCACTCCATTGATATATTGACAGTGTGCTTTGGGTCATTGTCCTGCTGGAAGATGAACCGTCACCTCAGTCTGAGGTCAAGAGCACTCTAAAGCAGGTTTTCATTCAGGATGTCTCTGTACATTGCTGCATTCAACTTTCCCTCTATCCTGACTAGTCTTCCAGTTCCTGAAAAACATCCCCACAGCACTTTATGGATGGTATTAGCCTGATGATGAGCGGTGCCTGGTTTACATGTCATTTTTCAGGTTTTTTATTTTGAATAATTTTTTTCACATTGTCATTATGGGGTTTTGTGTGTAAAATATTAAGGAAAGAAATTAATTTAATCCATTTTGGAATAAGGCTGTAACATGTTTTGTTTGCTGACTGTTTGTCTGGAGCTCATTCTGGGTGATGTGTTTGTTTGAGTGGGTGAGTTTTTAGTTTGGTGGTAGTCTAGTTGGGTCTTTTCTTCTCCTTAAATGCTTTCAGGATCGGGTTTGCTGGAGAAGAGAAGATGGGGCAGGGGTTTGTCAAACTGTAGCTGTACTAAACATTTTTTTTTCCATCCCAAAGAATTTTTGTAGGCAGTACTAATGTTTTAAGGTTTAGAGAGAGAAAAAGAAGGGAAAGAGATGGTTTGATAACTGAATAGAAATTATTGGTATTGTTTGTGGCATTCATTTTTGTTTTTATTGGGGGAGATGTTAGGTCCCATGTGGGACCTGTTTGTTGTTTGTGTTTTGTTATTTGTAGAGCCTGCATGATTGCAGATTGGTGGATGGGTCATCTCACCTGAGACCCATTATGTGGTGCCTATTAAGAATCCAACATTCTTTATGAGGAAAGCGTGATTAGCCGGACGTCCCTGCCTGAAGTTTTTGATTTACTTTAGTTTGTTTTGGATCATGAGCTCGGTTCACAACCATACACATGCTTTTCACTACGAACTTCCATTTATACTGACTTTGATTTCTTTAAATATTTTTGTTAGTTATGTTTTTGTTAAGGCGGTGTGGTGACCCCAGATTAATAAAGGGACTAAGCCGACAAGAAAATGAATGAATGATTGAATGTTTTTGTTAATAAATAATTTCTCTTTTCGATTTAACTGGTCCGTATTGTCTCTCTAATGTTGCAACTTTGAGCCGGTTGTAACATAAAAAATTGCGGAATAAGTGATGCGCTATGAATCCTTTCCGGATGCACTGTACACTTATACATACATTATGAAGTATATTTCTATGTTTGTGTGTGTGTCTGTGTTTCTGTGAGTTAATCTTACAATTAAAACATTTACTATTACATTCCTTCCAAAAATAAGTTTATTTAATATTACATGATGAACTAATATTGAACATTTCAAATATTCTAAACAAATTTTAATGAAAAAATATATATATAGTGCAACAAATTGTTTATTATATTATATTATATATTGTTTAATAATATCTTTTTTAACATAAGATTGTATTTAATTTTGCAGTTATTCTTTCTTTATGCATTATAACTCCTGATGCAGATTAAACTGAAAGCAGGCTTCAACCTTTAGCGAATCCACCAGGTCCTGCACCAGGAACAGTCTGCGCAGCTCTTTCAGTGTGCTGTTGATATAATACTGGACGTTTTCTGCATACTTCTGCATCTGATCATGGGACAGTGACATCTCCACATCCAGATACACTCTGTATCCAGGGCATAAAATTATTGGCATTAAACACTCATTATATGGCTATGCACAGCATGAACACACAATGAGAGAAGTCATACTTGAAGGGATGGCCCTCGTCTGTTTTCTGTACAGCCTGCAGGACGGACTTGTAGACTCTGAAGCTGATGGTGGCGGAGAGAGAAGCCAGAGCCAGATAAGCCACCACACTAACCACACTGAACTGAGTCAAGGAGAAGAGCATCAGCAGCAAACTGCCAAACACCAGCCCGCTCTTCTTCAGGTCCCGCCAGTACAGCAGCTCCATTGCTGGATACAGAGAGAACATCAGGTATGGTTAGACAATCAACTGTCTATGAAATAATTGTGATTCTGGTCTGTTTTAGAGCTACGTTTATTAGTTAGAGGAGCCAAAAATGATTATTGAAGTCATGGCAAAAACAACATTAAAGTCTGTGTGAAATCTAATTTTACAATGTTTTAATTTTTAGGTGACCAATTAACCCATGTAAGTCCATCCACTGAAAAAAAAATTGTTTTACTAATCTTCAATCAAAGTTTGACCAATTGCTTCTGCATTTCAATAATGGTCCTTCTCTATTGATGTCAGTTTGTCAACTTCAGCCTCAATATCTTTAACTCTTATCGTTAGTTTGCTATGTCTATGAGTGAATGATTTGCAAAAAAGAAAGCCACACCCTTATTCAATATTCAGTTTAAGTTGGAAGTACAGCAAAATCCTGAAATAAAAGTCTCAGCAACTTCCAGTTTATTTAGACTTTAAAAAACACTTGAGTAAGAACAGTAAAGTGTCGATTGAGATGTCTACTCAAATTCTAATTCAATTCGAATTCAAATTCTAATCATCCACGATTTCAGATCGAGAGCTATAAGTCGAACTTCTTCTTGAAAGCCTCTCTGTTTTATTTTAGTGATTTAAAACTTAGGTTAAAGATTAAGCAGCATACTGTAGCTCAATCCTACGGTAGATTAACATCACAAAACCATTTAAATTAAATCTCACAAAACTGTTTAGACCCACTTTATTCTTATTTAACCTCCTATGGCTTTATATGTGGACAGCACATTTTAGCTCTTAAGTGGCTATTTAAAATGCTTCGAATGTTTTATATTTTGTTACAGACATACAGTGTCATCCTGCAACTGTTTTGCAGCATATAAAATGTCTCAAACACTATATTTAACCGTCCAAAATGAAAAAAAAAATGTTGTTTTTACTCTCTGTTTGTCAAAACATGTTAAAAATGTATATGTTATGTATGCATTAAAAACAGTCAGGAAAAAGTGTTATGGACAATGATATGGACATCATTTTTCTCTAAAAGTACATCATATCAAAAGATGATACTTAGTTTTTATTCTAATAAGGTTCCAATAAGCCCAAATAACAAAGAGAAATAAAAAATGCATGTTAAAAAACACCTTGGGCCTTAAGAAGTTAAAGGGATAGTTAACCCAAAACTGTAAATTGTAGGGATGTAACGGTATTGTAAATACCGTCATACCGCAATATTAATTTTTTCCGATATTACCGTAGTCGCATGACTCGGTAAAACTATAGGTCTTCTGAGAAAATTTGCTCAGGCGAATGAAGCGAACGGGAGGTAGCGGAAACTACAATTCCCATCAGCCCATGCTTGGCCATAATCCCTTGCGGTCTGTTGTCGCTACAGATCCAGTAATGCGGAAATGGAGTGTGCTGCTAGAAGCGGGGATCAAAAAGAGCTGGAAAACCCTAAAGCGGGTGTTGTCGCCGCGCGCGTACTGAATAGCGGTGTTGTCGCGCGCGTACTGAATAGCGGTGTTGTCGCGCGAGTTCTTATCAGCTGTGTTGTCGCGCGCGTACTGTAAAGCGGGGACGGAGGGTATGTCGCGTCGCGGGGGCACTTTTGATCATTTTGGAAGGGAACTTTCTATCCAAGACTAAAAAGGGCATGTGCACTGCACAGGTTGAGCACTGTGTGTGCACGTGCCTGCAAGTTGGGGAATATGACTAATCAGTCATGGGGACTGCAGAAACACAGAACACTGTTCAGATTGATGCAGACATGAGATCTCTATCTCTCTCATGGTTTGTCCTCTCAAGTGGGGGAAAGACAATGCACAACGTTACCCACTGCTGTCAACCTGGGCCAAGTCATATCTCTCTTGTCCCAGAAACCTCAGTCCCAAATGAGAGGGTTTTTTTCTGTTGCAGGGGACATTGTAAATACCCAGAGATACCAGCTTTTACCAGATTATATTTATATGATAAATTTCCTTTAAAGCCATCTCTATCTAAGTGAGTGAGTGATTAAATGTTGAATGTGATGAGTTTTCAACAATACTAAATTGAAACTTTATTTTTTTACATGGTTTAATAATTTTTTGTTATTAAAATTGAAGTTCCTGTTTCAAAGCTTACAGATAGATGACTAATTTGTATTTCATTGACACTTTTGGCACTTTTTTGGAGTATTTTCATAAGTTTTGTTTTTTCCTGTAAATGATTCAATAAATACCGTACCGTGACATTCATACCGAGGTATTACCGTACCGTGAAATTCTGATACCGTTACATCCCTAGTATTTTGTGTTATCATTTGCTCAGCCTTTACTTGTCACAAACCTGTTCAAGATTCTTTCTTCTGTTGAACACAAAAGACTATGATATAAGACTAAATATGCCGTAAACTGATAACCACTGACTTTCAGAGTATTTGTTTTTCTAACATTCTTCAAAATATCGTCTTTTGCGTTCAACAGAAAAGGGAATTTAAAGAAATAGTTGACCCAAAAGTGAAAATTTACTTCCAAACCTTTACCCTGTTTTATTTTTGGGTGGACTATTCCTTTAAATGTTGTAGGCTTATGCTGGGTTTTATTCTATTATATTCTATTATCAGCTGTATTATGCAGTTACATAAAGTACTAAACGAGAAGTGTATGTGTATTGCTCTATGAAAACGTCTGAAGCTGCTGTATATGATAAAAATAGCATCAAATCATCCCCTTCATCTGTGTTAAAGTATACAAACACTGTGAAAGAGAGTCACTGTTGAAAGCAGAAAGTGTCTGCAAAGCGCTGCTTCGACTCTATATTTCATAACTAACCAGTGCTTCAAATCCATCACACCTATTATCTTTCAGCGAGACAGCACAAAGATCTCAGTGAAGCTACTGCAACCTAAGAGGAGACTTGTGCTATAAAGACATGTGCTATAGATGAATTGAATAAACAAAATTGGCTGTAGTGTATGAGTGTGTGTGTGTGTGAAGAATGCGAGAGTGTATGGGTATTTCCCAATACTGGGTTGTGGCTGAAAGGGCATCCGCTGTGTAAAACATATGCCGGAATAGTTGACGGTTCATTCGGCTGTGGCAACCCCAGATAAATAAGAGACTGAGCCAAAGGCAAATGAATGAATGAAGGTGCAGGACCATGAAATGTTCATCCAATCAAAACATTCGGTCTAAACATTACGATAGGCTGTCCTACCTGCCTGTTGGTATAATTACCAGCCTGATCTCACGAGGAAACTTAAGTATTTTACGCTTTCTCAGTTTAGTGGCTAATTTGTACAAATTCGTACGAGTACGAGTCGTGCGAAAATGTACGATTTTAAAAAGGAGGCGTGGCAATTAACCCCACACCTAACCCCAAACGTCATTGGTTGATGAGCAAATCGTATTAAATTGTACAAATTAGATTGTACGAATTCATATGAATTAACCACTAAATCAAAAAGTTATGAATTGCCATGAGATTGTGTTGGTAATTACATATCTCTGCGCAAGGATTACAATTTTAAAAACATCAACAACCTACCTTCATTTCATATATTAGGTATTGGTGATAACTAACTGTACTATAAATTTTTATCCTTGGTGAATGTTACGTTGTGTTTTGCAGTGATGTTGTCGATACATGTTCGAATGTCGAAGCATTCAGGAGGTGTGGCTTTGGATACCGATTTGAAGAGTGGGACATTGGCTTTCAGTGCTATGAGGCTAATCATAACATTTTCCAAGATTTGGCAAATTGCACATTTAATATCTAAACTGCCTTGTTAGTATCTCTGTCTTTCTCAACAACTGATTCAAAGAAATGTAATCTTATTGTAATAATGCTTTATTTAGATTTTTTTGGCTAATGGTCTAATCTGATTCAATGATTTATGCTAAGCTAAGCTAAAAGTGCTCCATCAGACCCGGAGATCGGCTCAATGGATTCAAAAATGCTACAATTGTTGTAAAAAAACGTTCCTTTTACCAACTTTATGTTCTAAACCAGATTCAGATACTTCAACTTGTCTCTATAACCTGCACCAAAACCCAATGCAAAACCAGTGCCAGCTGCAACAATCTCAGTCAACTCAAGCAACTGTGGTTAGATCAAATACCCGCAATTAGATGGTTCTTCAACAATCACCCAAGGCTTACATGGGATCAAAACCAGGAAAGGTAGTGGTTTACAATATACCACAGATCTGCTTTTCATTGATCGCTTTTAGGATCCTCAATTCAGCTTTCGGTGAATGGCGCTGATGTAATGACTAGTGAATCACTCTGAATCAGCGCTGAGTTAACACAATTATAAATGATTACACAAACAGACAGGAGTGCAGTCAACAGAAGCTCTGCGTCCCAATATGTGGATGTCTCTGCTTCACATTAGACAAAAAGAAGTATGCTAAATAAGCAAGGTGTCTGGAAAATATTAATTGTGAAATAACAGGTCAAAACCACTGCATTTGCTTCAATTTCTGAAATGTGAACACTTTGCTGTCCTATAAAGACTACTACAGGAGGTTAAAGAAAGAGTTCGGACAAACATTACATTTCTGTCTTTTTTTTTTTTTTTTGGAATGAGAGTTTTTTCATCAAGAGTTCACTTTTTTTAATCCATTCAGCCGATCTCCAGTTCTGATGGTAGCACTTTTAGCTTAGCTTAGCATAAATCATTGAATCAGATTAGACCATTAGTATCTCACTCAAAAAATGTAAAACACGTTTTGATAATTTTCTTTTTTAAAGCTTAACTCTTCTATTGTCACAACGTGTACATAGACTGAATAAAAAAGTAGCCATGTTCAAGATCAGGAATGTTAAAATCAGTTACTGGAGGGCGGCACTTTAGTTCCAACCCAACTCCAACACACTTCCCTGTAGGTTTCAACAAGCTTGAAGGACTCAATTAGTTTGAGCAAGTGAGTTTAATTAGGGTTGGAAGTAAACTGTGCAGAGCTGCGGCCCTCGAGGAACTGAATTTGACACCTGTGTTCTAGATCAATATGTCTAAGAACTAT